TTTGAACATCAGACATTGTGGTAATGGCATGATGGTTCAGCCATATGAATACAATCTTAAAATATCATAAAAACAATGCAATTTAAGGCCAGACAGCCCAACTCCTGTGAACAGCCCTTTATTACACATTCGAAGCATCTCTTGAGACATCAAAGTACTGTACATGCAGGCACATGGAATTACATACGAGTATGTGATATAAGCCCACCATATGTTGCACAACTTTTTCTGCAACAATGCAAATACAACAAATGCAAATACAATCAAGCTGGAAATGGATTTTATCAGTATTTTGATATATACATTATGGCTCATGTCTAAAGACACCTGCACTTTCATATTGAAATTGTTCTAATATCATCCAAACAAAACACATCAGAAAACTGTAACATCAGCCAAATGAGCAAATCAAATCGACTATGAAGAACATAAAAAACTGAAGGTCATGTTTCAGTTTATAAACCCAGACTTTAGTTTTATATTAGGGAAGCCTCACTTATCGATTTTGTCCATGAGAAACGTCATATGTTCGTTTCTCTGGAGACCCCCCCCCCCTTAGAAACGTCACACATAATTATCGATATTTTGTTCTTATAGTACACATGAATAAGGTAATTTTCTATATATTTCTTTTTTCGGTCGGCTATTGGCGATGCTTCCGCGAGGAATATGACATACTCTTTTTTATTTTAAATATGAACTTCAAAATTTCCAACGTTTCTCAAAACAACTTTTTTTTGCATGAAATTGAAATATTGATAATTTTAGCGCGTTTTTCTTGAAGTGTTTGAGTGTTTGCAATTTGAGTGTTTGCAATGCAAGAAAGGCGTAATAATATAAATGTATAGGTATAGAACTGTTATGGTATTACGAATGTATAGACTGCTGTTTGTATCAAATTATTTTCTTTTTTATATTCTACAAAGGTAAAAACTATCGAATTTTTCCATGATGTTTACAGACAAACGTCACAGCTGCCAACCCCGCCCACCCCCAAACGAACATATGACGTTTCTCGTGGAAAAATCGATATGTGAGGCTTCCCTAAATATAAACATAAACGCTATACGAAGCCAAATATGAAGGTACATTTTGCCCTAAATACTCAGTCAGAGCCTCAGAGATATGTTCTAGTACGCAATGAATCTTCTCTCACAGTTTAAAACATACAATAATACTAACCTTCGACAAATTCTGTATAAGTCTTAACCATTTTGCCACAGATTTTGCCAAAAATATTTCTTAGACGGACAAAGTAGTAATAATGGACACTCCTGGCACAGAATAAAGATCAATACCAGAAGGGCCACTCAACGGTGCGACGTGTCGCCATTTTTCTATGCAAAAAAATGCTGTTGACTGGCCATAAGGCGGGGCTTCCAGCCAATACAGCGCGTTTATTGGCCAGAAAATGTAATCGACTGGCTAGGAAGATGGCGGCCAGGGCCCTCTTGGCATGAAATGTTAATTTATCCCCAAGTTTGAATAAATTAATCGAAGATTGCATTACTTGCATAACAATGTACTTGTCATTGACCAATCAGGTTACATAGAAGACCGGCCGGTGCCAGGACCTTTTCCCGCCTTCCCAATGACAAAAAGTGATAAGCCCTGGGAACGAGGTTGTAAAATTAGATGCGAATATATAAATTAGATGCGAAATAAATAAATTTAGAATAAATTAAATGCAATGGTAATAAAGAAATGTTCGGCGCGTCATACTAATGTACCAAACGGACATGGCCGCTGTCCCAGGATTTTCGCCCCCCCTCAATTTCGCCCCCCCCCCGAATTCCTAGGAATATCGCCCCCCTGGGGGGCGAAAATCCTGGGAATTTCGCCCCCCTTTAGGAAGTTCGCCCCCATTCAAAAATTTAGGAAATTTCACCTTTTCTTTAGGATTTTCGTCCTCCGTTCAAAATTCCGCCCTTCCTTACAGTTGCATGGGATAATTATTACATGGGTTTATCAATTGAAATCAGTATCAATTCAAAATTGTTAAGACAGAGCTTGAAATAACAACCGATCACCGATCAGTACTCGCAGAATTGCTTATGATCGGCGGAAAGGCAGGGTTTCGGTTTCCAACCTGGAAAAAAGCAGGGAAAGTCATGACTGCCGATCGGCACCATGATCAGGAACTTTGGGAACGTTATTTCAAGCCCTGTAAGAATAAAAATTTACAATTACATGTATCGAAAGGGCTTACACAGTTACACTTACAGTAGATCAATAGGACTTATGACGCTTCACAGCACACGCATATTTTGCATTTTCAGTATTAATCCTTAATCATTGTTAAAAAGTAATCACCGTGGTGGTTATTGTAATTATTGGTATTGTTTTGCACCACGTTTTGTCGTTATCGGAAAATGTATGGCTTATAAGTTGTCACTATTTTTTACTTGCATTATTTCAATATAGTTTGTAAATCTCAGAAGCGAAGGGTAGAACTAGCCAAAAGGCAATACTCCAATAATATACGTTTCAAAAAGACAAAAAAGCTTTAAGTTTTGCAGAGTTACATTATCATTAAATTATTTGAATAAACCAACATATACTGTATATAATGCAATTTTCTTTGCGGAAGTCAAGAATCACGATTACATCACTGACACTGACATGGAAGTTGACGATTCAATGGACTATTGTCAATACGCTTCCCAACACATTCGATCGATTTTTTATTAATCCTTTAGTCTATTGTTAGCAAGCGATTACTGTGGTTAACACTGGTATTGATAAAATTTGCAAGCGATTCGGATTGTTTTTATGATATGTTATGTGAATGTAAACTGCCAGAAGAATACGACAACATGATTTTATGCGATTTCTGTGGGCAATGCGAATGGTTTCACTTTATGGATGTGTAGAATATGACACTAGTCTAAGTACCTCAAATGAGTGGTTATGCAGACTATGCACACCACTAGCCGCTAAGAAGCCTAAATTTGCAATCGTTTTGTTTTCAGATAAAAAATTCAAAATTTATATGGGGGGGCGATATTCTTAGGAGATTCGCCCCCCTGGGGGGCGATATTCCTAGGAGATTCGCCCGGGGGGGGGGGAGGGCGATATTCCTAGGAATATCGCCCCCCGGGGATGGGGGGCGAATCTCCTGTGACATCGGTGTAAATTCTGTTTTATTTATTCCAATAGTAATTTAAACTGCCAATTTTTTAAAAGTTTGAATTCTCGAGCCACTCTATATGAACTACAATAGTAATAAATTAAAGTATATTTATAGTTATTAGTCACACTGTATCACGCACAAGAATTTCAGAAAATATGATTGGTTGGATTGGAAATAAATTATCATAGTAATTAGTAGGCGGTTATCAAATTTCCTTGAGATTGTTGCAAGCTCTCATTTACCCATTGAACCTGCCACGCAGGCTAGTGTGGTATCGTCCGCAAACATTCTTGTTGACGAATACTCCAAACTGTTGGGTAAATCATTTATATAAATTAAGAATAGAAGCGGCCCAAGAATTGAGCCTTGAGAGATTCCACATGCGACTATTTTTTTGCGGGAAAGTATGCCGTATTTTTTATGGGAAAGTATGCCGTTGACAGAGCACATTTGAGTTCTGTTCGCTAGATACGATTTTAAAAAGTTTAAGGCTGTTTTTTCTAAGGCATAGAGATCAAGTTTCTTTAATAATATATCGTGATTTATAGTGTCGAATGCCTTTTGTAAGTCAAGGAAAACTACAACATTAAAGAAACCACGATCCATAATAACGAACCATTCATTTGTGCCATCTAAAAGGGCAGGTGATGTCGAGTGAAACTGTCTGAAACCAAATTGATGATGGGATGGCAAGTTATTTGTAACAAAATAATCACATAATTGTTCATATAATACTTTCTCGAAAATTTTACTTACAACAGGAGCGACAATTGTTTAACAGATTTCGGAGGGCCTTTCTTGTGTAAGGGCGCGGACTCTCGCTATACTTTCCATTCAGACGGAACAAACTCATTGCTAATTGGCATGTTGAAAATCTTTGTCAAAGAATTTGCAATTACTTGGGAAGCAATACGAATAATTTTAGCTGGAATTTTGTCAATTCCAGTAGCACGCTCACTGCATTTCACAGTTTAAAAAGTTGACAATGTTCTCACTTGAGTATTTCATAATTCCCAGACCGCGCGCAAGTAATAAGATATTGCCTGCTGCGGTTGGGTTTTGAACCCCCCACCTTCGAAATACTAGAAGGTCGCTTCGAAGATCGCGGGTTCCGACCAAGCCGCGGAAGACAATAGAGGCCTTTAGATTGACGTTTACGGCAAACGTCAAACCGCTAACGAGGACTTTGATTTTACATCTCTATTATAATAGATTTTACACCGGTTTTGAAATATGTTAAACTTATTAAACTTGTGCTCTATAGCAATGATTTAAGAAAGCAAATTAATCACTAGTCATGCCATTCCCCAAAGAAGTAAATTAAGATTTGGCGTTTGAAGTTGACGTTTGGCGTATAAATTTCATGCTTGAACTGCTACGAGGGTCGTTGTCGTTTAAGCATGAAATTGATACGCCAAAGTCAACTTCAAACGCCAAACCTTAATTTACTGCTTTGAGGAATGGCATGACTAGTGGTTAATTTGCTTTCTTAAATTATTGCTAAAGAGCACAAGTTTAATAAGTTTAACATATTTCAAAACAGGTATAAAAGCTATTATAATAGAGTTGTAAAATCAAAAACCTCGCTAGCGGTTTGACGTTTGCCGTAAACGTCAATCTAAAAGTCTCTAATATCTTCCCTTGCGCGCGGTCTGGAAATTATGAAATACTCACTCGAAAACATTTTCAACTTATCACATTACCGAGTGAACAATAACACAACCTAATATAACATAACACTTGCAGAACTAGTATTGTTTGATGCTGAATTAATATAAACGAGTATGTTTATGACATTCAGTATATAGTTCATAACTTCCTGTCTTAAATCCGTCTGACCGTGTAGCTCAGTTGGGGGTTCAAACTTCAAAACCCAGCCGCGGCAGGCAATATCTTTCTGCTTGCGCGCGGTCTGGAAATTATGAAATACATAACTGAATACAATAACACAACATCTATATATATACATATATATATACATACATATAATACGTAACTGTGTATTTCCGTCTTTCGATTGAAGTATATTATTGTGTACGTACAGTTGTTGATGGCGTGTTGTGCAACTATGGCTACACTCCGCAGTCTCTTGATTTTGGTGTTTCTACATCAGGTCGGTAAAAGTAACGCAAATGGGCCATGTAGCAGCAAGAAGTATAATATTACTACTCTAAAGAATGATCGACGCAATATAGCGTACAATAAAACTACCAACTTGTGTGATCGTAATTTAATAAAAAATGGAGCATGGTACAAATTTGAGAGCACGGCGGGCAATCCGCAGATGCTGCCTGAAAAAAATCCTGGGACTGGTCGTTGTGGGACCTATATTCCCATATGGATGAATGGGAAACATCCAACGGTTGACGGCGTGGTTACTAATGTTACAGCGTGTGCTCAACTATTATCTGTGGGTTCTACCTGTGATACTGAATACAATATCAAAGTTATTAAATGTAAAAGTTTCTTTATTTATGAACTGAAGCCACCGAGCCAGTGTTACCTAGCTTATTGTGCAACAGCAGGTAAGAATTTTAGACAAAATTTAAATGTGATGCCTAATGTGGCCAAAATACATAATAGCCAATATAAAACTAGCCTGCGTAGCAGACTTTTAATGCGGGCGGGAGAAGAGAGGGCGTCGTTAAATAAACACCTGCTCAAATAGCTATAACTAATTTGTTTTTGATTGCCATTGGTCAGTCTCGTTAACTGAAGTAATTACGTACCTCAAATGTCAACCACAATTTTGCACGCGTATCGAATAGCAGATAGCCGTATACATGTATTTCTCATAAAAAAATATGCCTGCCTGTTAATGCTTTGGAGGAAACTCTTTCTTCAAGTATTCAGGCTTCGAAATTCAGTTGAAATCAAAACAGAGATAGCCTATTATTAACTTGCTACGTGGTGAAGCAGGGCCCTTTTTAATATGCAAATGACCCCAGTCCCCCCTTGTGCCCCCCCCCCAACACGGAATCACATTTTGCCCACCCCTCCATACATAAACGGAAAGTAAGTTTTAGGCTTTATTCTTAGTCCTTGTTTAACAAAATCGATTTAAATTGTACGTTTTTCTGTAGTATTTTTGGTGCGTTTTTCCTTCTTTTATTTCAAATACAGGTATAATAACATAGACTTCAGAGCAAGTTTGGATGCTCAGAATGCAGGAAATAGCATTTCCGACGTGGCCTTTGGCCATTGCATGATATCCCCCTCTAATAAGTAATGATGAATTACGGTTAATTTTTTTTAAACTTTTTGTGCGTTTTTCCTTCTTTTATTTCAAATACAAGTACATGCATAAATTTTGGAGCAAATTTGGATGCTCAGAATACAGGAGATGGCATTTCCCGGTTTCAAATTTCAAATATTTTTGGGGGGAAGTACGCCCCCACCCCGCCCCCTATATATGCGTGATATGTCGGCCATACACATGGCCTTCAGCCATTGCCTATCCTCCTCCAATATATTGTCTCACATAAATGTCCCTTTTCAAAAAAATGCCCCCCGCCCCCACGGGGAAATCCTTAAAATAGGCCCTGTTGTGAAGACGCCGGTTATCGCGATTCTTCCTACGGGATACGGAAAAGTTTGATCTTTCAATTATACATTTATATCGGCAAATGAAAGCTTGCTATTTTAATAGCTCTGATGCCAGCACGAGCAGGGATCGAAAATTTTTTTATAGCTGTCTTGTTATTTGTCCACTTTAGAGTATAATTCAAAAGACCAGGGGCCGGTTGTATAAAAAAAATGATTAAAGTTAATTATAGTTAGTGGAAACGTCATCCAATAAGAAGCCCGTATTTAAGTGTTAATCACTATTTAACTACAAAATAGTGATAAAAAGGTGATTAATTGCTTTGTACCAGCCCCACAACCGGCCCCAGATATAGTTGAGGCTACATTACTTGGCATTGCAGCTATGAAGTTGGACGATGATTTTAAGAAAAACATTTCAAAATATGCTCAACTGTTATTTGCTATATACAGCAGAATACGATAGGTGGTTCAGGAGCCTTTTAAAGGATAAAAGCTCTGTGTTGTGACTGTTGTCTAAAATAGCTTCAAAAAGTCACTCATTAATAATTCATGAGGAAAACGCAATTAAAAAAATCATAAACGTGTCATATCTTTATATGTGATAGAGATTTCCCTTGATTTATATAAACTTTAACTTTGATTTTATTGACATACACAACGTCAACGAATTTTTTGAAAGTTACTTCGCCAATGAACTTACTAGAATTAAAACATTCGCAGTGCATGTTTTATCAGACCATCAGACCATCTTTATTTCAGATAAAAAACTGCTGCTCATGTTTTAAATAGTACATAAAATCTCTGAAAATCTTCCTAGTTGCCGAGCAAAAAGAAGATTGGATTATGGTGAAGGTGCTAATTACAAAACGTCAATCATCCTTGATGGGCAAAAACACATTTGTCATAGCCGTTTGGGAGGTGTTTCCTCAAACGACGCCCTCTCTTGAAGTCTTTTCTCCCTCCCGCACTAAACGCCTGCTACGCAGGCTAATATAAAACAAAAACCGAGAAATGAAAACATCTTTAAATTAAACCCAAAATATGGACTAAAACAAGACGTAAATTTAAATTATTTTAATATCTAATTTTCGTAAACTTTTCATTTTATATAGCTAACAACGTTTACTGTGCATTAATTTTTTTAATAACAACTGTACTTAATCAAAGATGGCGGAAAGTGAAGAGTTTGTTGAGCTCAGTATACACGAGGTTATTGAGTAGTGTATCTTATAAAATAACATGTATATAACGCGTATATTTTCTCTCATAGACCAATCAGATTTACAACCGAAATACGGTTGTACAGCATGCACTTTTCGGTTAAGGTTTGTATCAGGCTTATTTATTTATTTATAGGCCTGATCGCAGGTTAAGTATATCGCTGAAACCACACCAAAAACACAAAAAGAGAAAATCACCAGGGGTTTTCCGTGTTCCAAAGTAAATTTGCGGTTGAATAAAGTCTAACGATTATGAGAGGTTAAAGAGTTTCGAATTCGAAAAAAATAAAATTTGGCTTTGTTTTATTCCTGACCTTAGATATTTTGTCAAAACTTAATTTCAACTTAATTTACGGCAATTGTAAATAAATACTAAGTCTTGTTGTTTTCTTGTCATAGACTCATAGTATAATTTTGGCATTGAACTTTTTTCGCTACTTGCAAGTGTTTACTTCAGCGTGTACTCAAATTGAATATTAAAACGTTTCATTATTAAGAGCTCGTGTGTTTTGGGGGTTTTACAAGCACTCGTTCACGAAAAAAAATCTCGAAATTTGATACTGAATTCGTTTTCGCCTCGTGTAGTAGAAAAATTCTTGTCTCTTGCTCGTAATCCCGCTAACACACTCCAATATCGTGGATGGTTAAAAAAAAATGAATAGGAAACAGCTGTCAACGCCAGCAGACGTGACGTATATGTCCAATATAACGAATATTTTAAATTTAATTTGCTTAAAAAATAATTAGGAAACACGAAAACAAACCGGCACAGAAGGCTGAGACGCCATCAGCATGCTGAAATTCTGAAAACATGCGTGATCGTGAGTTTCCACTGTTTTTATGATCCATGATTACATTTCAATCGTATTACAGAATCAGCATGCAGACAAAAATCATCAGTTGCAAGGTTATATTACACACATCTGATCGTTTATTATTTTGGAAAGTATCTTGCTATATCAACATTTGCTGTTTACAGTGATGTTATATGTTCTTCTAATTTGTAAGCAGCGCTTCGAGTGGCAAGAAAGGCGATGAAACTAGTAATAAACTTTGAACAGTATAAAGCTAAACTATAAACAGCATATATTTGGCGTGATATATATTCTATTTACGTCTAGTCGAGTGTGAGAAATTTGAAAGTTGGTATGCATAGGAAGTATTAATGAAAATCGCATGCGTGTTTGGCGAAATATTTATACAATTATAATTAACTACTTGGCTACTGAAAAAATGTAATTCGCTACAGAGTTCGCTACAGCTACAACTATATACGGTTTTGTAGAAGCATGGATAATAAAATAAATGAATAGGACTCTAGCTGATGTAAGCAAAAACAACCTAGTTGCAATCTGTGACGTCACGCGTATTGCAAAGTTCTCGGCATTTTTTTTGGTGTTTCGCTATACTTTCCGCTTTAAAAGAGTAATATTGAAGCATATACTGGTCTAATTGTTTTAAAAACATGCCTAAGCCACGACAAAGTATTCAAGGTAAATGTTTTTCATCTTTGTTTTGTATTTTTTTACATTTTAGCTACGAAATTGGCGTCCCCAATTTTAACGAAATTTGGGACGCCTTTTTCACTGTTTAGTGTTGAAATATTTGCCAAAAATTAACTGGGAATACTTAGAGATTTCATCGTAGAATGGCGGGGTTATATTCATTTGCTCTTTGACTAAAATGTTTAGCTGTAATTGCTAAACATGCCGTTTTTGAGAATTTGGTTTGCAACTATGTTTGAACATCCAATCACGCCATCAGCCCATTGAAAACATTAGGTACGTCACGTCAGCTAGTTTCCTATCCATTTATTTTATTATCCATGGTAGAAGTAATCAAAAACTTACTCGCTGTACTTGAAAATTGTTATTCGCTATATACAGTAGGAAATTCGCTACAGTAGGGAATTCGCTATACTTGGTCATTTATCTGGCCTGAAAGCAAATATATCACCAACCTCGTACCCAGGCTCTTACCTTCGCACGCCCCAAGCTGCGGAAAGACCCTGGTGCCGGCTGGTCACGTGGCTCCCAGGATATTAATTTACCAAGGGAGGGATGGACAAATCTAAATTACAATGCTTCCACTTTCCAATAGTAAAATTCGTTGGCAAGGTGCGGACGTATTGGTTTGAATTGCAAAAATAGCACTTTATATCGCAATTTGTCAGTGTATAATTTGTATTGAATATTTCGTGTCAAATTGCCAATTATGCGCGCGTTTGTGTTCTTTTTGTCATTCACATGCTGCCAGGCCATAGAAGCAAAGTTGATAATTTCAACGGAGACTCGAACGGAGATGCTCGAGTTTCATTGCATTTCTTGCTTGTTTGGAATTCGTTGTTCGAAATAGTGCATATCATAACAACATACTGTACTGAAGCCGAAGCAACTAAGCAAGTTCTTTGTTTGGAAAGTATTTATTTATTTATTCAATTTTGCCAGGTTAAATTACACGATTGATAACATTGTGTTCTAACTTCGACAAGAGTCACAATTTAAACATACAGATCTCCATGTTCTTGGGTCCTGCATCAAAACAACTGTGCAGGGCTTTCAAATAATACTGTTGTAAAGCCCCGCCGGTTTACACGAGCAAATTTTATTTGGCAAATTTCATTTGATCAAATGCATTTGATCAAAAGCTAGCATGCTAGCTTTTGTTCAAATGCATTTGTCACAATAAATTTTTCACAAATTTATCATCTACACGAGCAAAATATCTTTGACATTCAATTTGCAATTTGCCCGTGTAAACGGGCCTTAACAAACTCTTAAATGTACTTAAACATATATTATTTATTCGACAAAAGATGTTATTAATAATTTGTATCCTACCAACGGGTAATATGGAAAGTATCTGATTTTCCATCTGATCCATTGTTGTTGTCTGCAAGATCATATTTAATAAACAAGTCGATTTTCTTTCTCCATGAAAATCACTTGAGATATCTACTCAGGATGGTTCGTGTATTGTTATAGTTGTGTTTCCCTTGAATTCACTGAAACAAGATCAAATATCTCGACTGAAATCAAGTGGCCTTCGCGCGTCTGCCATTCTATAAATATTCGCAAAAAATATTCCATGGGCATGGAGAAATCACAATTGGATTGCACATTTTGGGTTTAAATGGGAATTACTAACATACGTATACGGATGACTATATTTATTAATTGCGGTAAAGTATATTGGTAGATGATATTCATAAACAATTGACTTACTTCTATTGGCATGGATAAAGGTGTAGCAGATCTAGTTTCATCACTCGAGGAGAACACACATTTGACAAAGTCAGTATAAACTATAAAAGCCAAACTGCGCCTTCGACTTTCAACTACAGCAACATTTGCCGAAGATCTGGCAACGGATAGAGAAACTTCAGGGCATCGCTTAGATCGGGAATCTTTTACTAATGATTTCTGTGTTTCGGAAATTACATTCTTGAACGAAATCGTATTATTTAATCGTCGTTCACAAGGACGGCACTCGATCGGCAGATCAAATACGGAAAGTCATCAACATGCGGCAGTTTCTCGCCATAAATCAGCTCCGTGTTATTCAAAATTCTTTAACTTGTTTTGTTGAAGAGATTCTTACAATGTATCTGATCTTGTACACCATTATATATCGACAACGAGAACTATTTTCAGTTGATCCAGGAGATCTTTTTGTAAAAATTTCTTTGGCGTGCTTTTGCTAAGCCGATAATAGATATAGTGACAGTGAAATATGAGATATTTGTAATCCTTGAGAGCAATATGATACTCTTTCGGCTGCAACACATGATTAATCTGTTGTTTTAACATTTCTTCAAGAAAAAATCTTTTATTATTGTCTCGTAGAGTTAGAATTTTACTATTTTACAAATTCAGAAACAATTTCAATACGTACAAATCATTTCTACCACCCCTCCCTAAATAGCAATTTATTTTAGCACCCAAAATCTGGGAGCCACGTGACCAGCCGGCACCAGGGTCTTTCCGCAGCTTGGGGCGTGCGAAGGCAAGAGCCTGGGTACGAGGTTGATATATCACTTGAACGAAAGAACCGCATTCAATCTTGTTGCAATTTAACAAAAACTTTTTCATCTCTTGCTGAGGTATAGTAGAAATGTTCAAAAAAGCGAACCTTTCAACAAAGCTCCAGATTATATGAAGTTCGATCTTTGTTACCATAAAGTAACACTCTCTTCCCCTTTAACTTTCGACAATTTTTAATAACCTTTTCCTTAGCACGATAACATCTGAATTTAAAAAAGACGAGTTCTGTTGCGAAAAAAATTGAGATCGTTTCATAGCAATCTTCATCAATTTTTTCATACAATGCCAGATATTCTAAGCCAGTTATACTTTCAGCAGCAATTGCTACTAGTAATGTGCTTCCTTAAATCCTAATGACATTTTTGCGAAGGCTAGCGCACAACGTAACAAGCTATTCGATTATGCTGAGACTGTTTTATTGCCAGTAGTAGCTTACCCCCTATTTGTTTAATATAATTTCTAGCAACAACACCAGGAGGAGGTAGGACAACACTTTCTCCAGCTACACCACCTACAACAACAGGTAAGTACAGTACTTAAATATTGAATGGTTAAAAAATAAAACAAATCTTCAGAAAATCTTCCTGATCGCCCTAGTCGTGAAGGACTGGTACAAGCTAGATTAGCGCTAACCTCGGGTTGTAATTTTACGCGCTGTTTTGGTTTGGGTACATTTGCACTTAATTTAATCTGTTTATATATAATTATTTCAAACCTTTGGAAAATAGAACTTCTATTGAT